TTGTTTATTCCATACCTAGTTTAAAATATATTTTAGTATTTTACTTACATAATAAATTATAAACAAAAGAAATATCTGATATAGTGTACAGATCTGTATCTTGTTCTTTTATTTTCCTGTGTCCTTTTTGTCATTCAGTAACAAAACAAAACAACACTTCTGATCGTCTGGTTCGGCATTGTATGGTCACCATTTAATTTTTTTTTAAGTATCAAGTATCAGCAAGTCTACAAAGAGGTTAGGCCTAAATATTTTAAAATTTTATGAAAGTTTTTATCAGTAAAATTATTTTTTTCTTAAGTTAGATTGAGTTTCAAAAAAGATATTTCTAAGATCCAATACAATATTTACAAGACACAAACTACCATGAATTAATTTCTTTGGAAATTATCTGTAACAGTTTTATATTTTTGAATAAAGAAAATATATCTTTTTGTCTCTACTTCCTTGTTTTGTTACTTGCATTTTGTCAGCAATTGGAACAATCGGGTGGTGTAATAGGGGTGGGGGAGGGGGAGGGTCTATGACCTTGAGTGTCCCCGGGCCTGGCTCTGGTTGTGTAAGAGGGGCGGGGAGGGGAGGGGGAGGGTCTGTAACCTTGAGTGTCCCCGGGCCTGGCTGTGAGAGTGGTTCATGGTTTTTTGTTTACATTCTACTACCCTTCCCCCTTCCTTCCAAGAAAAAGACCCTACAGTTTCAAAAACATCGACTTACAGTATAAAAACATTGAGTTGTGTTGCTAATTAGGACACTATAATGTCTCTGCTGTCTGCTTATGTTGCCAAATTAGCATTTAACTTTCTTTTCTCTTGATTTAATATAATTTTCTATATATTAAGAGTTCCTTTTCAGGTACCTAATTATTGTGATATTGTTTGACTTGAGTTTATGGATTTTTAATTCTTTTCATTTATTAGCTAAAATCAGTTGTTTTAGGATTTTAATCTCTTGCAATACCGTAGGTCTTTAACTGTGTATGACATGATATATGCAATTTTTACAGTCTTTACTATAACTAACTAAACTATACCATAAACAATGTATGTGTGTTATTTACTGTTTTAGAGTTTTTAAAGTGAATTAGTTTACTCACAATCTTTTCTTCAATGAGTTCTCCACTTGTCATGTTGCTTAGTCTATTACTATTTTAGGCCCTATAAAAAATAATTCCTATGTAAAGCTGTAGGCCTAGTAATGCCAATAATAAATAATTCTTTATTTATGATGATGTAACTAATAATGCTATTGTAAGTGTGAGGTTTTTATACTTAGGAGGTTAGGAGGCAGGGAATGAATGATTCATATTGCATGGTGGAAACATAGAATTTTTATTTTATTCTTGCTTGCAGTCTTTAAGCCAGTCCACAGGCCCTAAACTTGAGATAAGGTTAATTGATTTGTTTATGATCCTTTTATATTAAGTTCCATTACAAACTTGTTGTAATATAGCTGTTTAGATATTTCAACAGTTATGAAAATGGGAAAGAATGGCTTGATAAAAAAAAATATTTTCTTCTTTCTTGCAGTTGAGGCAACTCCTAAGCTGTAAATAAGTTATGAACATGAAATAATATACATAAATACAATCGTTTTTCATATGTTATTTTTAAGTAATATTATAAACACAGATAGGAGTTAAAAAAAGAAAAAAATCTGGTAGTTAATAATTTTTGGCCCGACCCGATTTTGGCCCGAAACCCGAGGACCAAAATTATCGGCCCGACCCGACCCGACCCGAACCAAAAAAGTCTGACCCGCAGACCCCTATCCAGAAGGGGATCTTTTTTAAATCCTGACTATGGTGGAGTTAAAGAACCAACAAAACATATGTAGCATGTAAAATTCGACACTGGCATGTTAAGGATTGTCTGACAAGGTGCTTTACCATTCTTAGAAGCAATCTTAATTACGAACGGCAAAATGTTGATGGTGTTGATAGTGAGCTACTTTTAGTGAGAAACACTTTTTCGGACTGCTTGTACAAAATTATACAGCCATTATGACAGCTAGCAAAAATTAAAAATCCCCCCCAAAATCTCTTAAAAAAAAGTCCCCCCCAAAAATTCTTGTGGCGCAAACGCGCCACAGTACCCCCCCTCTGGGCACCCCTGGATAGTATAGATGGTAAATTAAGTTATTGTGTTTTGCTAAACCTATGATTAAATTAAACTAAAGAATATCATCAATAACTAAATTGTAGGTCGTTGATTTTTGTTTTTTAAAATCTGTTGTATATGTGTAACTATAATTAATTATCAAATGGTAATACAAAAAACTCTTATTTTATCTTAACATAGCTTTCAGTTCACATTTACTTTATTTGATAAATTTATTATTTGTGTTTTGCCACTCCACTGATTAAATTAAACCAAGGAAAATATCATAAAACTAAGCAGTACACTGTGTTCCTTTGTTTCTAAAATCAATGAAATATCTGTTACTATGTTTACTTAATGGTAAGTGTGCAATATGTAAAGGCAATGGACGATGGAACTGATAAAAAAAACTGGTTTGTATATTAAGTTGTTTGTTGATATTTTTGTAGAGTAGAATCAGAGATGCAGTGAAACATACACTGTATTTTCTGTTACATTTTTTAGTCCTTGATGTTTTTATAATCATATTAGTTTTGTCTACTGTCTTTAATGCTAAATTATTTGTTAAAAATTTTTTATAGTATCTATAGATATAGTTTCTTTAATATTTCAAAAAACTGTATTGTCTTTAATGCTAAATTATTTGTTTAAAATTATTTATAGTACCTATAGATATAGTTTCTTTAATATTTCAAAAAACTGTATTGGTAAGGCACAGCAATATTTCTAAAGTTTATAACAGCTGACTTAGTTTTGCTAATAATTTATTGTGAGTGAAGATACTGAAGATGGAAGGATTTGTGAATTTAAAGAAGAGAAATTTTTAAAAAAAGTTCATTTAAATTTAATAATTAGTAATAACTTCAAAATTGAAATTTAAAATGTCAATAATAAATAAAAAGATATGTAATTAAGGGAGATGAAATGGTGGTACCCACTACTTGCCAGATTTAAAGGCATAACTTAAACGTTTCTATTAAGGCCATAAAAGTTGAATTTCGTTTCTAAAAGCGTTGGCGGATGTGTAACTATTATATGCAACAGATGTAAAGATTAAAATGTATCTATTTTGTGTCCTCTTCCCGTTGCAAAGCACGGGTACAACAGCTAGTAACTCCATAAAGATTTGGTGTTGCTGTGTTCGGCTTTGCCTCGCACATGAAACTTGAGGTACTGGAAAATACCACTCTTTGCACTAGTGATGAAGTATACTATTTTCACCAACAACAACCAGAGCATTGAATCAGGCCAAATTACTCATTGTGTTCTGCCCAACTTTAAATAATGTAAACATTTGAAATCATAGACAATTTATAGGCATGCACTGTGGGTGCGATACTCCCTGATGTGTATCCTGATAATTAGACCAATTCGTTCAAAAATGCGGTTCGGATTCCACTATAAACTATAGGTCCCTTAGTTGCCATTGGCTGTATGGGCTATTAATTAACAGCTGTGCCTAAGGATAATGTCATGTCGAGGAGGTGTAGCTGGGTGTTTAGCTGGAGGTATAGCTGGAGGTATAGGTGTAGGTGGAGGTAGGTATGGCATGTTAAGGAAGTTTACTACGCTGATTTTCCTCCACCACTCCAGTCAACATTCAGTCTGTCTCCAACTGTGTGGTGCAATAGCACGTTATAATTGGGGTTTCTGTAAATAATGCTTTCCAACAGTAGTGATGATAGTGATGAGATGTCGTCAGCAAGTAAGTAGTGGTTTACGAGTACCTTAAGTAATCGAGAGTTCAGTGCTCATCCCATTAATCAAGTACGGCAGAAACTGGGTGAATATCATCACTTGTTTCATGAACTTAAGTCGTACCCAGAAAAAATTCATCAGTACTTGAGAATGGCTCCTGAAATGTTACATGCATCAAAACATTTCACCAAAGCTGGAGAATCTGAAAAGGTACCTTAACGTACTTGTAAACCTAATCGGTCCAGAAGAACAGCTGGTAATTGCCATAATGTAGTGGCACTTGTATTAGTTTAATATATGAACGGACCAATCACAAAGAATCAGCGAGCTAAGCGACGAGGTAAAATCAAACTAGTTTGTTCTCGAAAAGCAGGCCAGCTAGGCCTCCTTGTAAGTGGCCTCCACCTATACCTGCTCACTATGCGAGCATCCGTAACAGATCATGTGTTTGTTTTACCTTTGTGGTTACGGCGAGCTACGCCTACATCTACAACTCCACCTACACCTCCTCAACATGTCATAGTCATAGTTCTTTATTAATTTTTTTGTACATAGTTTGTACAGTAAATAGCGTCATATATAATACAATACTAAATCTAATTAAAATCTACTATTTACAATTAACCAAGCAAAAATGAAAAGTAGTAACAAAAATATTTATATCTACAGTAGGTTATATCTGGGAGGTGGAAAATTCTTCTATGGAGTAAGGGGCCAGTTGTATTAAATATTCTTTCAGCAATTTCCTGAACTTATTTAAATTATTTTCTCTTCTTATGTTTTCTGGAATATATTTAAGAAAAGTATATCCTATGTAGGTTGGTTTCTTTTCAAAAAACTTTAATCTATGTGGCAGGATAACCTCATTTCTCTTTCTAGTATTATACGAATAAGCTGGGGACTTAAAATTGATAGTTGTACAATTCTTTGCAATGAGAGTAGTTTCAATAATATATTGCCCGTAAACAGTTAAAATATTTAGATTTTTGAAATGTTCTTTTGCTGGTGCATCATACTCTAACTTACCCTAAGGAACATGTCAGCCTTAGTCGCTAACAAGACTACAAGATCGCGCCACTCATCCTATACTCATCTCCATTCATATTTGGCTTAAAATACTTACATTCCTATGGTAGCCATTTTAGAATAAAGTATTAATTTACAACATCTTAAGACCTTTTAACTAATAGAGAACTTTGTACTCACCCACAGAACTTTGTTGGCCAGAGTTTCGTCTGTTTGGTTGAGAGCAAAGTGACATTTTCTCCACTGAAGTAGCCAGATCTCCAGCACCATTTGTCATCAGAGAGCTGAAACAAACATATACCATCACTTTCAAACAAATACAATGCTTAACAAGTTTGCCATTTACTTTACATGACATTTGGAGCAGATTTTTCCATAGCAATACACTTGGTGACTCATCTTGTTGACAATGAGTCAGATTTGAAAGCCTTTGTGAGTGTTTGCGTTGGAGCTAGAGCAGATGCCTCCATTGATTGATGCAGCAAGAAGCTTGATGTACACTTAACAAAGCTGAATTCACAGAAACATTAAGGAAGAAGGCATGATAAAATCGTAATAACATAAGGGCGAAAATAGATTATTTATTTTACTTTTGAACCATGGAGAAAATTGTAAAGCTTTAATTTATAGTAGTATTTTCAGTTGGTTTACCAATATACCATTACACAATATTTTATCATCCAAAGTCTAACGGAAAATTGGTATAACCCTAGGCATGTTTTGAACAGTTAAAGTTTTTATTTGGTTAATTATCCATACTATTCAGTATACCCAGGGATATATGATTAAAGGAATGATTTCTAAGCCTTGTTATACCCTAAAAAGCTGTTAACCATGGTTAGTCTATAAAGAAAAGATGTACTGGGTGTTTGTTTTAACACAATCCAAACTACAAGTACCACGAGGACAAAACTAGCTCATATTTTGGCATCCCTGTTTCTTTATTTCATTGCCAATCAGCTGATATACCGGTACTTGATTGCATAGTTATCTATGAGTTTAATTGTTATTGGAAATGTATTGTGAATAAGTATCAACTTGGTGTTTTCGCAACCATGAGAAAAAAAAAATGATTACGTCTTATTTACAATAAATGCTAAAACCATCCAACTAACTATGGAACTATGCTGTTCTCTATCAATAACACTGAACATCATAGATAACTTTAACTATGTTCTTTGACTATTAATCTATGATGCATATTAGCTGATCAGCAATGAAGTAAAGAAAACCGGTTACCATGATATGAGCTGGTTTTGTTGTTAAAAAGTGCATCATGTTAGTTGTAATTATTTGGGTTGTGTTATCATTCTGATTCTGGATATTGTATAAGTATAAGACAAGCATAAAAGTTTTTCTATTAAATAATGAAAACCATACAGACAGTATCTTAGATTAATATGAAGTATCATGTTAGTTTTAATTGTTTGCATTCTAATGTGTATAACTAAATGGATACATAGTAACTAAGTACTGTAAAATTATCTGTAACAATAATAAAATGTTTATTAATGGCTAAAAAGTATGAAATTCTTAATCATGGGATATATATGAAGATAGTAGGCAAGTTGAAAGCACAAAGCAAGAAGCATCAACAAGCTTACAATTGTGCAAAACCAATCAAAAATAACACTTACCATAATCACAAAGTGAAAAATAATATTTACATTATAAAACCTCACTATTTGCGTGTAAAAAAATTCTATTTAAATTTGAAATGTTATATTGTCTACTCAATGAAATTTAACTCCTTAGTACTGCAGTAAAAACTCATTTTAATTTTAAAACTCAGACACAAACCACTAAATATTTAGTCAATTACCAATTAATTTAATTTAGTTTTACACATCTTAAGACTCATCAAGATTCCATGAGTTGGATGGTTGGAAACTATACCTAACATGAGACAAAAATTGTCAGTAGGTAAAGGTGGTTTCACACTGGCGTCCGCGGACGATAATTTCGTCCGCGGACGATAATTTCGTCCGCGGACGGATGAAATGATTCGGATGGATGCTACGCGCCCCCTTCACATTGCGAGCTACGTTTCAAACGTCCACTCATTCGCGCATGCGCATAGGGAAGTGGCCATTCCTACTAAAATCATAGATTAAACATACTTCCTCTTACCACTCAGTGGAGGTGTGCAAAATGTCTGAGCCTTCTGTCCCATGGTGTCAACCCGGATTTTCTGTTCCGTGGCTTGATTCAAGTAGTGATGATAGTGACGACGAGGTTGTACTTTCGTACTCATTATTGACATAACCTCTCCTAGAGGTTATGACTAGTGATTTTTAGTCCTTTACTTAGTGGTAATATATAAGGATTTGGACAGATTTAGTAGTATGGCGTAAACTATCGTACGTAACTCGTGCAAAATGTGTTTAAAGGACTCGTATGGTAATCCACACTTGTCCGGTAAACACTTACTTTCAGGACTAGTAACGTAGGCCTAATATAGGCTACTAATATCCTACAAATCATTGTAATAATGATTTACTGTACAGTAATTCGTATAAATATACATGGTTATTGGTTAGGATATCTATCTTTTTATCTTTCTCTTGTTGATCCCTATAAATTTCTATAGTTGTATCCCAGATAACTGGGTAAGCACGGACAGCCTCAATTAATTCAGCCAACTATGACTGTAAACACAAACTACTAAACACTGTGGTGATGCGAGTGACACATGCCTCGCTGAGAGCTACACATGGTTTGGTGCTCAGTCTGCGCATGCGCGAGGGCGTGATCGTCCGCGGACGTTTTAGAAAAATCGCTAACAGAGCGATTCCACCAGATCGTCCACGGACGAATTTCTGCATCCGCGGATGGACGCTACGTTTCAATGGGCGGTGTGAACGGTCCCATCTGATAACATGGGCAGCGATTTATTTTCGCATCCGTCCGCGGACGAGAAATCGTCCGCGGATGCCAGTGTGAAACCGCCTTTAATCATACAATCATTGCGTCTGCTCAAAAAGAATTCCCTTTGAACCTCTTTGCAAAAACTCAAACCAAATTGAAATTCACACCTCAGAATATATTTATAATGGTTAGTAATTATTACATTTTAGATAGTTTTTCAAAACAGTTAAATACAACCGTAAGACAAAGTTCGCACCAGATGCTACATGAAAGTTAAACGAGGAAACCAAATGTGGGTTAAATTATAAATGACCTAAAACAGCTTAAAACTACTCACTTTTCAGATTTGGCCCCTCCGTTGGTTTGAGGTTCTACACTTGATTCTGGGGATTCTGAGGGTAATCTGCCGAAAAGATTTGCTCCAGTTAAACACTCAAAATAACCCTCGAAAAAGGAGCAATCAAGAAATAGATATATTGAGTTTGAGTGCTTGAATGTTAAACCAGGTAAAACTTCTCAAGGCTCAATTTTTTAAGAAAATTAAATAATAAATAATCATAATTGAGGTTCTAATTATAACAAAATAATTACAAACCTGTTAAATTGAACTTGCAAATAGGTATAAGAAGAAAATGGTTATTTTTGCTTATTGAGATCCACATAAAGCAAGAGTAATTCTGCAATTAAAAACCAATAATCAGGACGTATTGAGCTCAATAAAGTACAGGCTATTAAAACAAATTTATTTACAAGAAATATGTTTAAGCTGAAAAGTAGTAAAAAGCTGAAGTTCAAAGCCAACACACTTGAAAACACAGAAAAATATAACACCAAATTATGAAAATAGTTAATTAAGGAACTAAAACACTAACAAGAGTTGTTGATAAATATTTACATTACACTATAATATTACAGATTTAAAGGAGGGTACACAAACAGTGATTTTGAGAGATTTTTAAGATAAACAGGTACAAATTCACAGTTAATTCTTATACTTCAGCTTTAGAAATTGAATAGTTTAGAGATACAACATTTCTAGAGGTTTTGGTGTAAGGAAAGCATTCTCAGCAACTAATAATTATTTGGCGTTACAAATTTTGAATAATTTTTTAAAAGAATTAGTTTCACGTTAAACATTATTGAGCAAAATGACATCTAATTAGCTTTACAATTTATGATTACTTATTGTAATTTTAAAAACTGTAGAGTTCATATTAGTTTACTTTAGGGATTTATATTTTTTATTGGTCTTAATGATGAACTTTTAGATCTTTCACTTGAATAGCTAACACATTTGATAAAAAACAGGTTTAAATTATAACAAAATCCTCTAAAAAACTTGTACAATGACTTTACTAATGTTATAGAGACGCTTTTGTTAAGAATCAGGAAAGCGAGCAAAAGTTCCTTATGGTTAGCATAAATTTTTCAGGGATAGCAAACCAGCCACCAGCCTTTGTTGAAAGCTCTTTTGTCCACTATCTTGACACGGTCATTGTAAGAAAATAATCAATCATCCAAACATAACCATATAAATAATGGTAAAATCATTAAATATATTAAATAGTGTTTACAAAGTAGAACATTTTAAATGAAAATAACTACATTAGTCCGGATTTTTAGAGCATACTGTTAGTAAATTTTAATAAAAGTTTTTAAACAAAATATTAAGTCACAAGTTTCATCGATCTTTAATGAAATAATTGAGGCGTGATTTGAATTTTTAGTTTGAAGCTCATATTTGGAGATTGTAAATTTAGGCAATGTTATTTGAAGTATTATTGTCGACACTTTCCATTTCGATTAGCATGAAAGAAGTTTTTTGGGGCTTTGTGCATCACTTCTCCATGTTGTTTGTTTCATTGTGGTCAGTACGGTACAGTTCTTCCATCATTGTTTTCTTGGTTCCATCTTTGAGTGGGTTCGTGTACTAATCTTGTTACAGATGCTTTTCTCACCTGAGGTTGGAATCAGCCTCTACACTGTGAAAACCTATTAATTAAATGTCCACAATAGTCCCTCAAATATCATAGGCTTTGAATATCGGAATACTTTATGAAAATAAATTACTTTTATTGACATATTGTTTGTATGTCGGTTAAGTACTCACGTCTCCTCAGGGCCGGTCCATCGCGCCACTTCTGTGATGCCTTCTTTACGCAGCTCGTCCATGAAATGTTCGATGATCTCTTTACCACGTGCAATGTTGTCACCATACTGCTTCATGGCCAGCTTCTCTATGTTATGCTCAAAACCAAAGAAGAACTTGATGTCTACGCTGGCATTCTGCTCAAAACAGGTCCAGTCTGGGTTTTCAGGATGGACCTAAAAAAAGATAAATCTTAAATTCAATTTGGTCATTTGACGATTGGGTGCATTATTTGTTTCCAGATTGTTTACTACATCAGTATTATAATATAATACTGTATGTGTCTAGGGTGTATTTCAACTTGAATATGTATAGAAGTTGCAGGTAGGATAGGTGAGACTATTTATGTAGCTTTGTTGCTGACTAAAATGTGCTGTTTCAATTCCAAGCAAGACCGGTTCTAGACCCAGATGCCAACTGCCTTTGGGCAGTCACTTAGTAATACCTAACAAAAGGTTAACATTAGCCTAGATAGTAACAAGTCCTTGTTTGGACCGTTTACTAATAAAAATCTTTTAAAATGACAATAGCACAAATAAGTTCAATTGTTTTCTTTAGAATTACTAAAAGACGAATGATCAACGACAGGTTAATCATTTGGCAATTAAATGGATTTTCTCTCCCATCTAACTCACAGGAGTAAATATTATTGGTTTGCTTGTATATTGAATAGTTTACCAAATCTGTGGAAAATATATACAATTTACAAGGCCCCAAAATACTGTGTTAACTGAGGGAACTGGTCTCAAGTAAAAGGTTTCTCTTAACAGGCATTCTATAAACATGTTTAAGTTACTGTAATTCAATTTATATTGCTGATACCTGTATTTAAACATCTTTTCAGTGGTAAAAACATAAAATTTGTTTAAGTTTTTAGCATTTTATGGCAGCCAAATATGCTGCCCAATATTTTTCTTCAGCAATTTTTTAAAATTATCAATAAGATTTTACAAGTACGGTAATTCAAGAGCAATTATTTTTCCAAATGTTTAAAATCTTCATGCTTTATTAATTTGTCATGAGAGTTGTGAAATACTTTTTGTTGTCATGAAAAACACTCAAATCAGGTAATAATTATTCGGCAAAAGCTTAAATAAGTAATTTATCACTCCTGGCATCACTGTTTTTGTTTTGAGAACCGTAAGTCTCAGGTTAAGTCTGCCCAGCAAATCTGCAACCAATTCTAAACAATAATTTGTCGAAATATCTGCATTTTGAATTCTCAAAACATGCCCTAAAACATTCAACCCATTTCATATATTTTTATTCATGAATGTTACTTATGTTATTCATGTTTTATTTATGAATGTATTTGAATGTTACTGTGTAATATTCCTTTTTGTACTAAGAAGTTAAAAATCTTCCTATTACTACATAATATTAAGTGAATATGGCTAAAAACTCTATAATACACTGTTTGGATAGAATTGTTCAAAGTATCAAATTTATATTCGTAGTATTTTAGTTAAATTAGGATATTACACCAAATACAATAAGTATGTTAAATATTCAAGGACTTCACTATCACAAATTCATCTCAAGGCAGTAGAAGATGTAGGTTAAAAAAACTTGCATGTCGGATAAACATTTCAAATATAACAATAGAAAGAGAGCAAAGTTCAGTAGTTTAGTTTGCATCTTAGTGCAAAATTGTTGAGATCAGACAGAAGGCAACTTATCACAATCATTTGCGCGTTGAGTGTCATCTTCATGGTGGGCAACGTCCTTCACACATTTCTTGATAAGTAGGAACAACAACATTAGATAACTGACAAAACAATTCCTCTGCTGTAGACCTTTACTATAACTGTATCAAAGGCTGCTTGAATGTTTCCCTTTACTCGACTTTCACTTTCAAAAGAATTCTTTTGTATTTCAAACTTCAAAGCTTCAAAATAATACTCTTTGTTTTTACCAACTATATCTATTTAGAATTTAGATTTGGAATGGTTAGTAATTTTAAAGGTGAGAATATTACAAACCATATAGAGTCCAGTACATTGATTTATTTATAAAAAAACATTTTAGAGTTTTATGTTTACTATAAATATGAAACCTAGGTAGGTATGGAATAGAGCAGTACCTCCCTTTCGGAAACATAAAAATATTGGCGTAAATAGGGATGAATCACATTAAATAGGTTATAGTTACTGCACCTCATATTTTTACAAATCGAGCACTGGAACAGAGAATAACTGTTACTGTACCTATATACTTTGATAAGGTAGACCATCAATTCAACACTTTACAAATTGTCTAAACTGTACAGTTAGTTAATGTTGTATCAATCAATCACAATAATTTTTGGTCTTGCTTTAAAATATTTTCTAGTTATTAGATGCTTTGAAACTAAATACAATTTTATTATGAAAGAGATTGCACTTAATTTCCAACTACAGTAATTACAAACAAAACACTATTTAATTCTGAAAACTTAGTTTTACATGTAGCTTTGCCTTTATAAAATAAAAGTTTAAATGGCATTCCAACTTTTGTTACACTTAAAAAACTGTCAAGATAAATATTTTACTTTTAAAAATTGTTCACACACAGTAAATTTTTTTTATCATATGAAATGGTAATAACTATTAGTAGACAAAGTATTTTTTGGAAAATGTTGATTGTTTTCTCTCTATTTTCATTCCTCTGAATTTGGCACTGTGGCATGGGACACCTTGTATATGTAACATGATAATTAGGTGAAATACTTTATATCCAAAACAAATTATAAAACTCAACTGATTTTATTCGCATGTCGGTGAACCGCGATCACGCTATATCAGCGTCACCAAGGAGTTTACCTCCAGGAACCGATTGAACACTATTTTGATCTCACACCTCCCCCACAACACCCCTATCAATCAGTTGAAGCCTGAAGAGTCGCGTAGTATGGAGCCCGACTCCGTGAGTCACCGATGGTGTTGTTTTTGTTAATATATTTTTATGAATATGTTAAGTAAGAGTTTTTGTTGATTTCATGAAAATGTTTAATGATTATAAATGGTTTTAATACGTTTTCTATGATTATGTATTTAAAAAAATGATTGTCTAATGCCAACACCCGGAAAAAACTCTGTGTATCACCGATTATGTTGTTTTTGTTTGCTATATTTTAAAAATATGTAAAATAAGAGTTTATTGATTTAATGTACAATTTGATTAATTCTACATGTTTTAATATGTTTTTAAATTAATAGATGTATAAGAATATTCTTTGTCTAATATTTCAACAACCGGAAAAAAAAACTCTGTTTGTCACCGATCGTGTTTTAAAATCAAAGACACTGATAAAGAGTTAAACAGCAACCAACTAAAGGCACATCTTTATGTTTGCAAATGCACAGCTTGTGTTTCACAATTAAGTCTGTGAACATATCCTGTAAGTGGCTGGCAAAGTTCCATGTGGCCGTAACATCAACGATCAGAAAGCTGGGTCACTTTGATTCATGTAACCTACTTCCGTTTGTGCTCTGACATTACCGTCTTTCTTAATGTGTTGTTTAGTCTTTGGAAAGACATTCTCTGGGGTTGGCTAAGTAAACTTTTGTTATTGTGCTGAATGTCATAAATATGTTGTCTAAAATATTACTTGGCACTAAAATAAATCAGAGAGAAGTTGTATTGTTCACTGTAATGATAAAAAAATAATGAGAGAATTACTCAGACGTTATGATGCATCTAAATTAAATTAAAACCCTGTTAATTTTAAGAATTGGTAAAACCTCTAAACCTCTGACTAAACTTAACTTAATTATTTGGTATGGGAGCTGTTAAATTTCTAAAACCACTATAGAGACATTACCAGGTTTAATTAAATTTGAATGACTCTAAATTGGTACTGATGGTTTATAACAGTTGGTCCATTTGATTCTATGACTACTTCAATTCCATGCAAATAGAAATAAAATATCTGAAGTACAAACATCTGGATATTAACTACAGATGAAGTACTTATATTGTGTATGAAATCTATTGAAACATATTACTATGAAAGTAATATGTTTCAGATTTTAGATATAAAAAACATTTGAATACAGTAAGGAATGAGAATTATTTCTTCAGTAATTGTTTTTTACTAAATAGAGGAAAGCCTTTTACTCTCTAAAACCGTTTACTACTTGGGCTGTACATAAAGCCCATGTATTTGATAGACTGGCTAGCCTGTGGACACATTCACTGCTGAATCAATCAATATATCAGCCTTTATTTCTTGTCCAAGGGCTACCATGAAACCTGTCTAGAAACAAAATTTGCAACCATCAGAGTAAATATTTCCTGATATGGCAATTGAATTTTCAAAAACTTTTAAAGTAAATTATTACATGTAAATAACTATAGTTCGGCCGCTTGGATAGCAACCTCCTCTAGCATTGGTTAGCATTAGCGTGCAGGTCGCTATCTAAGTGGCCGAACTATAGTAGAATATTTACCCAAAATACATATTTAAAAGTTAAGTGGTAGATCACATTGCACATAGCTCGCTTTACCAATAAATTAGTATATTGAGTGCTATTTATCGAGTGCATTTCAATTTACATTTAATGTCATGTTTTGTTTGTTAATAACCAGAACTGCAGGCAACCTATGGTAGTTTTGGTAACTAAAATTAGAAAAGTATTATTCAAAGCATTGAGTAAACAGACTTAATAAAAGAAATACTCAGTTAATCATATTATAAAATAAGAAGTTTGATGGAGTAAATAGTTTAAACAGGTTTAATGTTTTTAATAATTAGAATAGATTCTAAGCTCCCACAAGTGATGCAGAATACATGTTCAGATAAGTTAAAACTTGTACATTCTAGAGAAGAATAAGGAATCAAGTGACAGAACAAACAAGACATTATTGGTTTCTCCTTTTAACGTTACCCAGGTTCCAATGGAAGGTCCTACAAAAGGATTCTAGCTTTTATACAAACAATTCAGTGTTTATTGATACAATACATTTTTTTTCTCTTGATTAGCATTTAAAAAAATTGAACATTTAAAACAAAGTATAATTTTTGTTTAATAATTTAAGTTTAATTATTTATTCATACTGGCACTATAATTATTTGTTTATTTGTTTTATTTTTGTGCCATGAACAAAAAATACTTTTTTGGCTACCTAGCGTCTAAAAGATGAATTTATTTTGTAAGACATTGACAATATTAAACTTTGATAATTTTTTTAAATCAAACGTTGCACTTTTTTGTATGAAACCAAAATGAGAAAAAAATCCCGAGAAATCAATAAGACATTAAAAATGTGATCCAATAGTGATCCAATATTTAACAACGATTGTCAATCTGTAAAAAATTCATCACAAACAATGTTAGGAAATTAAATGGTCCTTAAATCGTGTGAAAAAACTGGAAGAAAATAGTAAAAAAAATTTAAATCCGGCAAATTTTATTTTCAATTAGTATTTCTATAAATAATCTAGGATTAAAAGCTTTCTATATTTTTATGTCCAAAACTTGCTGAAGTATGCATGACTCATATGAGTGCAGTACAGCTTTCAAGTTATTTCGGTTTCAAAAGCAACAAGAGGCAAGGCACATCGGTAAACACTCCAGAGAAGATCCCAGAAATAGCCTTCAACATTAGAAAGGACTTCTTGAAATGTCAATAGCATCAGCACAATAGAGTTCTAGCTTAAATTATTGAATTTGTACTACACATGTTTTTGTTTGAGCACACAAAACGTTAATTAATTATGTTCTCTACTTTTTATATTTTTATAATTTTTACGGGGACTTTTATATTTTAAGAAATAGGTTTTTATGTTAAAATTAAGTTGACTTGTGAAATAAATTTATCGTATAAACCTCATAGCTAAATTTTAAGAGTTATCAGTAAAACCCCAAAACAAAACTAAAAGTTATGAGTAAAAGTAAGTGGGTAGCTGAGTGGAGTGGTTATACAATAATGTTCACTAACAGGATGCCTATGTGTAATGGTTTTCAAGCCATGAAGTAGTAATCACTAGGTTGCTGTTTTGATCTTGGGAGAAACCAGTGGTATTTTAATAGTTTGAAACTAATTTTAGACCCAGCTGCCCTTGATCGTTGGACTTTAAACAAAGGTCCTTGGTCTTGGCACATTCATTGTGTCAATCAGTAACAAAGCTAAACAAGACATCATTCCCTTTCCACAGCTATTGATCACACATACTTAGGTTATACTGTAATAGACTTGGTGAAATCATACTAATATTATAAATGTGAAAGTTTGTGTGTTTGTTTGTTTATTTGTTTGTTTGAAGTTCAATCACGCATTAAATACTGGTCGGATTGTGTTGAAATTTGGTATGATGATAGCTCACATTCCCGATTAACATATGGACATATTCTTACCTCAAAAATCCTTTCGGGCTCCGCCCCAGCGGCTCTAGACTTTCCCATGTTAACCTTATGAGTATTCATATTTAAAAGGAATTAAATAATTTTGCCAGCTGTTTCAACTACACAATTTGTTTCTATGATATTCAATAGCATTAAAAGGTTACACGGTTTACCAACAGGGTGCAGCACCATTAGTTCTTTATACTTTATGACAACAGCTAATTTGAACCAAGCAGCAACAAAAACCTGAGTGTGATAACTTTACTTCTTTCTATTGTTTAGGTGAAGTGGTAGAACATTATGGCTATGGTAGATGTTCTGTATACTATAGTAAACCAAATTTTCTCAAAACGTGTCCACTCTAATTGCAAATGCAAAGTACGAGTATTTAGCTACAATAAGCATTGTATACCAACCCCGTACGAAGGACGGGTACTCAGCTAGTAGTGATATAATTATAAATGGTTATTTATATCACCTTATAAAGCAATAAATATTGAAAGAGCAAAATATCATTGTGAAAAGTTACAATGAAAGAACTATTGGACATCTTTCAAATCTTTTGGAAACAATGCTGACTTGTGACAGTTGAGTAATAAACGCTAAATCGCCATTACACACCAGTTACATTGATAAAACTCAACAATCCTATTGCCATACAAACTAAAAATGTAATAGTTTTAGGTTCCACAACAAAGTAAAACAGCAGAAAGACAAACAACTTACAAAGTATCGACATTTCTCCAGAACTTCAACTCTGTTAGAGAAGCTCTCATTGTAAGCTTCAATGATCAATGTACGAGTCTTCAGATTTAACTCGTTCTTTTGGATGAAAAAAACATGGTCCACTCCAATGATCTGAAAAAATAAATATAGTATTTAGACATTAATAATATAGAAACTGTAAAAACCTTGAGTGGCTGAGTTTTGATTCAGTAATAGCAGATCTATATTTATTTATTTAATATATATTTATATTATAGGCCTATTATTTATATTATAATAATTTAAATAGTATAAATATTTAATTTCTACATTTCTATATTACTATTTTTACTTGTCTGTGATAATAGCCGGGGTTTATTTGTATTTTGAGAATATTTATCTTAATTGGGTCAAAAATGGAAATTAAACTTTTCTTATGGATATTTATTTAACATGCAGCTAATTTTTAAGCTTACGACAGCCTATAAAAAAAATGTCATGGGCCTTATACGAGTTGCCATGTTGGTTACGAAATTCCAAAAAAGAATATAAACAGACAATCAAAACAAAATGGAAGAAATTCCAATCACATGACGTGATATTTACAGTGTGGGGTGAAAATAGTGAAGTTTGCACAATACATACTTGTTTTCGACCACGGGCCAACTCTAGTAAGTTACTAAATACTTCCAAAGTTAGAATTAACTTTGGTGATTGGGTGTTAATTGTAGTAAAATATACCATGTTACACAATGATAAAAATGTATAACAATGGTATATGTACAATGGTATAATTGTGCCAGGTAACAATTTTGGCATAATCAGAGGAACATTTCAGTAGCAAGGAAAATGTACATCTGATGTTCTTGACTCCAGCTGATTCTTATTTACCCCAGAAAGGGATATACAGAACTAATTCAGACCACAACAAAAAGTGTTGAAAACAAATTCTGCAGCGTTTTTTGATTTAGTATCACAAAATTATAAATCACATATACAGCTGATTTATTTGTGTCGAAATCATATCAATAAGTACAACATACATATAACTTTGTAATCTCTAAAAATTAGAAGAATGAGTAAAAGCAAAATTATTTTTCAAAATACTGGTAGTGACCACAAAGTGTAAATACAGTAGAACCTCTTTAATCCGAACCCCCGTAGTCCGAACGTCCACTAATACGAACCCCTCATTGCTGTACTCTATACACAGTACAGCAGTTCTTTATTGTATACTGTATTTAATGTACAGTACTGTTTATTCACCATGTTTACTACTGTATTAAATATACACTGTATTTTAATTTATAAAACATTTTTTTCACTTTTCCCAAAATAATTTAGATCAATTTTAGCCATGTTTTAGCTATTGTTATGTAAAAATACCCCCGTCGCAGCAAACCTGCATACTAAGCGAATTTCCATCTACCCGGCTTGATTTCTACTAAAATATTCCCTATAAATTTTCAGATTTATTTCTTATTTAAATAACATTAATTTTAGTGAGTAGTTAGGTTTGCTGCTACGGGAAAGATGTTGAGGTGTGTTTTTTCAATTGAAATATTGATAGCTTAGTATGAAATAAACCAAATTGCCAAATTTGATTAAAATATATCCATAAACAAGCAAACTAGAACAGTTTATTTATTCTCCATAAAAATAACATGTGAATTTTAAATTTACAATTTTTTTAATTTGCTCCGTAGTCAATGAACATTCAAAAACACTTCAATATACTAAATTATTTGTTTTTTTAAGCTCTTCAAAATGGTCTAGAGAGAAATTTAGAAATTTAATGTTTTTAGGGTCAAAAATGAGAAAAACCCATTTTTACCCCATAAAACCCCCCATAAACTCCTGATCCCATGGTCCGATTATGCTGGTTCGCGAACTCGTTCGAATAAATGTAGGTTTACACGTTTGTACCAAATTTCATCAAAATCAGATCAATTTTGCTCGAGTTATCGCGCTAACGGACACATATATAAATATATATATATATATATATGGATTTGAACGGATGGTGTTTTTGGCCTCTGGGGACCTCAAAATGAAAAAGTAAATCGGTCCCGGGTCTAGGTCTTACCATGAGACCTACGGTAATAGCTTATTCCCTATATGGGAAATTCGCTAACAACAATATGTTCTGTAATCCGAACTATTCACTAGTCCAAACTACCCCTGGTCCCAATTAGTTCAGATTAAAGAGGTTCTACTACTGTATTGTGTTTAGAGTTATAATAATTTTATTTATATAGATTCATCATTTTTTTAACTTTCATATCACTTATATATTATTATTAAAACCACAGCTGTCGTAATCAATTATGAAAATTCCCATCACTGAGACATTCAAACATAATTTAAAACTATGACAACTGAACCAGCAAGTAATAACTCATAAATTATGGAATAAAATAAGAAAGGTCATATGAACAGCAGAGAGAGAGAGTAAGAATGACTCATGGTAGAAGGGTCAACCCGGGACAAGGGCAGTAACGTGACTGCAAGGTTTACGAGTGAGATTCCGAGACAGATTGCTCACATGTTTCCTTGGAATACAAACTACGTTGCTTGTTGCTGTTTTGATTCAAGTCTTAATAAGAATTATGATCCTTGTCAATCTACAGAATAGTGTAAATTTGTCATGATTTGCCAATTAATTCAAGGCTAAAAATAAATCTATCAATATTTTTTTATTAATCATTGCCAATTGTTCTAAATTGAGATTTTTAATTAGCCAAAGTAGAAGAAATGACATTTTATGAAATAAAGAAGTTTTTCTAATGTTATTGTTTTCAATGTAGTGTTTGTTTAGAGGAATTATTTTTGTAGTCTATATAAAATTGATTATTTACTGTCTAATTTATTACACTTTATTCCAACTACTTTAACCCTTAGAAGACCATTTTCGGTATTTTTTGCTAAAAAGACAAACTTCCAATACTTCCGATATACTGAATTGGAAGTTTAAACAAACTATGAAAAAGCATGCGAGAAATTTAAAAAAGGACTGCTTTTCAAAAGCTAAGACATTTTTTCTATAACATTGCAGAAACTATTAAAATTACCCTGGCAGCGTGTCTTATACTGTAAGGTCGGTCTCCAAAGGGTTAATTTGGTGTTATCTTTACGAACGACGTGTTCAAGAAATGTATTTTATAACTATTTTTAATCATATTGTGAAAATACCAATTTCTATTTGCTTGATTGGATTTGCATTAAAATATTTCCTTAAACATGTCAAAATGTATTCCCATTTAAAATAAGATTTTGTTTATCGAGTACATAAGTTTGCTGCTACAGGGAAGAAATAAAGTCTGCTTTTCGTGAAAATATTAATAGTTTAGTATAAAAGAATAAACTCCCAAAATGTGATCATAACCATAAACTAGAATACAACAGCAGTTTATTTATTATCCACACAAATATAGCACAGGAAATTTCAATTAACACTTTTTTTTTTCTTTAAAAACATGAAACGTACAACGCTTCAATGTACTAAATTATATTAAGTTATTTTTAGCTCTACAAAATGGTTCAAGAGGATATTGTGACATTTTATATTTTGAAGGTAAAAAATGGGAAGACCTCTTTTCCTCCCATGAACCTCGATTCAAATCAAATATTTCATTATTCATAACATGTAAGGCAGATTATAAGTATGTTTATAAGATGGAATGGTGTCAGATCTTATTTCTAAGAAATAAAAAGTACATTGAAATTAGTCTAGTCATAGTTATTGTAACTATAATTATTATGTACATCTAAATCTTACTAACGCCATCTATTTCATTTAAAAATTCATTAATTGAATAACAAGTGTTCTCAATCATGAATGCCTAGAAATTGTTATTGAATTTGCCAATGTTAGTCTCTGTTTTCTGGCTATCTATTAAAAAATTTGGCACCCATATTATATGTGGTCTTTTTTTATTCTAAATTACGATCAACAGTCTTTTATATATATTTTTCCTTACAAACCAAATTACTGCAGAAAGATGCTTTAAAGTCTTTTATATACATTTTTCCTTAAAAACCAAATGGTTGTATGTTCATTTAAATTAAAATAATCAATAACTGTAATGGAGCGAGATGATGTAGTGAAACCAGACAACCATGGACAGACAATCTACATGTTAATGAGTCTGGGAGGTGTTGTATAAACAAATAGCGACATGACAGGGATACACTATACACTGTGTAGCTTGGCTTGAATGATTAAATAACCAACAATTATTCTGTTAAGTCAATAGCAATTAAATCAATAAAGTTTATTGAAGAATTTTTCTTGTAAAACTAAACTCAGCATACCTTTTTATAAAAAAAGAGAATTCACTTTTTGGTCAGTATTAAAATATTAAATTTTTAAAGTTAACTGGGGGTGTCTAGACTTTCTCTTGCTTGCTCATCTTAAATAATTGAAATGGCTGTCATTTTGATTAGGGGTGTGATATTGACCTCTAGTTTGCGCCATTCAATTTCTCTTGATAAACCCTTTAAAATGAGGGGTCACATGATAGGTGTTTACATTTGAAAATTTGAGGCTGCCCCACAAATACCCCATTTTGGGGGTGGGGCAAAGTTGTAACTTTGATGAAAAAGTGTGATTTCTTATGATGTAAATATGTGCCAAGTTTGGTTTTCCTACTGCAACGCGTTAAAAAGTTAACTGGGGGGGTTCCAGACTTTTGCCTAACCCTGTATAGTACAAACATTATTTTTCGTACAGTTACCTAACTACAGTACAGATTCTCTCACTGATTTGAGAAAGCAAAGTGGCCAATTCGCTCATCAGTGAGACAATGTTAACATTGTCTCACTCTAATTACTTTGTCTCACTCCAGATTTGCAGCGTGAAGGCACAAAAGTGACCAATTCGCTCATCAGTGAGACAATATTAACATTGTCTCACTCTAATTCCTTTGTCTCATTGCAGATTTACAACCTGAAGGCACGTTTCTTTACCAATTTATTTGTTTTATGGTAACTGTAGGAAAAATATAACGTGCAACTCGAGTGCAAAGTAACTATTTCCCAGACTTGTGACCAACTCCAATCGATTTCTCAGGGCCAAATACCCCATATTATAGAAAAAATCTAAAATCCTCAGACAGAAAAAAAGTTTGCTCTTGCCATACATGCGCTTTTTT